TCCATGGGAGAGTCAAAACAGAGCACAGCTCTCTCACTTCTCTCTTGTGCTCTAGTTACACCACATTGTCTTTACACAGTTGGATCTGCACAGCACTAGGGCATTCCACTAGAATAGATTTCACATGCAGCAACTGGATTCTTGTACTCACGTGACATGGATGCTAGTTCTCTAGGCATATAGCCTTCGGTGCCCATTTGATGCCATGCGCCTGTTGCAAAATTATATCGCCAAAGTTCCCTGAAGAGAGGGTAGTCTTCATTCTCTGGCCCGCCAGACTCATCGTAGTCCGGGTTATACCCTCCAAACACGTACAGGTTGGCGTTATCTGCTACACAACGATGGCCGCTCCTTGCTGGTGGGGCTCGGTGGCCTGGAGCAGGAAGAAGTTATTTTTACTAAGCATATACAGAAGGGAGAAAGCAAGGTTTGGGGAGCCAAGGAAGGAAGGAGCTAGGTTGCATATTTTGGGGGATCAAAGGCGGACGCTGCAGTGGATGAAATTTCAGCTTCCAACTGTAACAGCTAGAGTTAAATGGCAATTATTATTTTTTGCGTGCGTGCACGTGCTAAGGAGTTGATATTTCCATTATGAGAAGATCCACCTCTCTGAAAAGGTCTTCTCTCAACACCTTGTCTTCAAGGGCCTGCATGTTACATCTCATCCTAGACTACTCTACTCGTCCAATCGGACCTTGCCTATTCAGATGCTCTGTTATACACAGGACATCCTCCATGATCTTTCAAACCCTTCCTCAGAGCTCCCTTTCTCGGATTTCATTCCAGACACTGTCCCAAAGGTTTATAGTAAAATGTTGGGAGGGAACAGTGAACACATCATGATTTAGCCTCACTTCTTCCTTAATTCCTACACTACGCTTTATCGTTCGCTCCTGTGGGGCTGTGTTTCAGGCAGGGACTTGTCGCTTGTGTGTGTCTGTCGCACCTTGCACATCTATGGGACGGAGTTAAACAGTTAACTAAATTAAGCTTCAGAACAGCACAGTAACAATCCCCTGGAAGACCAACACAAAGGCCTTAATAATACTGCCTGGAGCACAGTCGGGAACCCAAGAGAGAACACAGGCTACAGGAAAGGGTAGGCAATGGACACGTACCTCCCCAAATGGAAGACCTTCGCATGCCTGCTCCTTCCCTAGAGCAGAAAGTAAAAAGGGCAGGGCGCGGGCAAATCCAAGGCGACACCACATACTGAAGATCATGCTGGTGCCAAATAAAATTTGGATCTCCATGCTCTGCGTAGGCCTCATTCCTACTACTAGGCAGCAACAACTTTGCCACCATGCAACAGAGCTGTCATTAACGCAGGTTCAGATTCACTCTCCTGTACGCCCCCCTTTGCCCTTGTGCCCCACTCCACACTCACACAGAAGGGAACCCCAGCACAGGCCAACACATGAATCCCCCTCAGATTAGTGGCTAAAATGTGGGGGTGAGGAAGGAGAGTGCTAAACAAAATAAGCTCGGTAGCAGAGGCAATTTTACATCTTCCTGACAGATTAAAGACCACAGGCTAAGACTTAGGACAGCCACTTTCTTCCTGGAGAGTGACACTAGAAATCTTCACTGCCCATGGACAAGCGATCCAAAAACAATGCTCAGCTTGTTTTAGTTCAATACACACGGCGAATCAGGCCTAGCCTTGCAGCTATGACCACACAGCGTGCTTCCTCCTCATGACCTGGAGCCACAGACGACGTGGCTAAAATAGCCGGTTGTGTTTCTCTAACTCCACCATTTTGCTGAAATGCCCACTGGTAACCATCACTGTCTGCGGCTTTCAAAACATCCCCAGAGCCGCCTGTCGCAAGGAAAGCTAACTGCAGGAAGTCTCTCCCTAGGAGCCCCTCTTCCAACAACATTCTGGATAAGCAAAGGTAGAAAGAGTTCAGAATAAAGGGCTGTTACCCAAGGAAAGGCCTTTTAACTGCATTTCTAACTCAGTGGGCCAATTTATTCCAGCAGTCAGATGCTCTGGAGCTGAACATACAAGAGCTACACCCATATAAGAGCAAAGTCCCAGCTTGCTGACACTAGGATAGGCAGTGAAGATAGTACCACCTATAACTCAGATTGCCTGACACTTTCCTTTACAAATAACCAAAACCAGGGTCTGATAACTTGACTTAATTTTAGCCCTTGAGTTGAAATTTCCCATGCCAGGTGTTTGCCTCTGGCTTTTCTATATATAAATTTCAGCTAGAACAGTTCAGCTGTTTCCAAGAAAGAGAGCAGGAGAAAAATACAGTGTTTGAGCCTTTAAAAAAAAAAAATTCTTCCAGCCATCACTGAGAAGCTGGAGCCCCACCATGCTTTTGGCACAGGGAGATGACATTTGGCAGGAAGATCACCCTGGGTCAAGGATGTGCCTTTTTCCGTGCCTGTGAGAATTTGCCCAAATCTGACCAAGTTAAACTGAAAAAAACTCCAGTTCACATATGCTCAGAGAGTCAGAGTTTAGCAGCTACATTCGCCAAACATTCTTTATTGAGGATGCTCCATCTCTGGGCTTCCTAGCAGCTCCTAGGAAATTTGGCAATTTTGGCCTTAATCTCTCAGTTTCCCACATGCAAAATGGGAATGCCACCACGTAATCTCACAAGAGTGTCATGAAGATAACTTCATCAGTGTTTATGAAACACAAATCCTAAGGGGAGACTGCCACAGAGATGCCCAAGAGGAAATGATTAATTTTGTATTCAGTGCAGGTTCTGGATAGTGTACAGTAAATGAGAGCAGGGGCCTGATACTGAATGTGGAGAGTAAAGAGAAACATTGAACAACTGCCCATTTGCTGAATGAAGCCGAGGTCCTAAGGCACATGTAGCAGGTCTCATGACGACTGGATCTAGTGCATTTCAATTATCAGTTTTCTACACAGGATAGAGGTCACATACAAAGTGATTTGGCAAGAGTACAAAAGTGCTCTTGTTTCGAAGATGCAATTCACAAAACTCCCCATTTTAGAAAGTCAGATCAGCAAGCAACATACTGATATGAACCAAGCACACCTTTAAACACCCGTGCTTATACACACCCAAATCACAAGCACTCCTTAAGCAGCATTTGGAAAGCGCAGAATTTAGAAGAGGTTCCCATCACCCACACAGTGATCGGTGATCAGCGCCACCCACCTGCTCTGAAAGACCTCTTACGGACCTTTAGGATGGGACGAGATCGAGGGAAGCGTCTAATTAGGACCAATCGTATTTTCTTCTTAGAGCCTGTTACCACAATTACCAGCAATGAGTCAGATACACACACTCAGCAATAACAGCAGCAAGTTAAGAATCACGAAAAATATAAAGCATCATCACTAACATGATGTAAACTACCGGTCCAGAAAGGTTAACAGCTTTTACCGCCCAAAAGAAGCAGATGTGCTTAAACTGGTTCCAGGTCTGCCAGATGAAGGTACCACTATTGTGCAGCGTACACTTGTTCGGACAGGTTTCAGAGTAGCAGCCATGTTAGTCTGTATCCGCAAAAAGAAAAGGAGGACTTGTGGCACCTTAGAGACTAACCCATTTATTTGAGCCTAAGCTTTCGTGAGTATCCGATGAAGTGAGCTGTAGCTCACGAAAGCTTAGGCTCAAATAAATGGGTTAGTCTCTAAGGTGCCACAAGTCCTCCTGTTCTTTTTACTTGTTCTGATCAAATTCAGTAATCTGTAGTGGAGTGCTGCCACTTTGTGGCTAAAACTCATCAGCTGTTTTATGTTGTTTCTAGGTTTCAAACTGCTTTTCATAGCACTCATCACTCACAAAGCCAATGAGCAGCAAGTAGGAGATAAAACCCAATGAACTGGTGACAAATCTTGTCATTAGCTCCATCTGTGGCACACGTGTGCATTACACTGATGAGAGGGATCCCGATACTATTCTGAATCAAAAAGAAAAGGCATACTTGCGGCACGAAAGCTCATGCTCAAATAAATTGGTTCGTCTCTAAGGTGCCACAAGTCCTCCTTTTCTTTTTGTGAATACAGACTAACAGCTGCTACTCTGTATTCTGAATCATGTTTTTCAGTTATCTGCATTAATCAATCTCTTCACCACAGGGAGAAATCACCAGATATGGACTAGATTAGTGGAAAGTAGTATAATCCTGACACATTCAATAACTACAGTTATTGGAACATATCTCAAGTTCACCAGCCCCAGGTGTCTTTCCAATGTGTTCATGAATTTGGCAGCATTACGGAAATTAACAAGATGTGACAGTCTGTTAAAAGTTCCATTTGTATCCCTACAGCAAATCATTGGAATGGTTTGATGCAGTTATGTATTTTTAACACACCCTATGTTACAGGGCCAACAGGATTAATGTGTGACGCTAATCCAAGCCAACTGGTTAAATTTGGATTAGTCAACAAATAGGTTTAGCGATGTGATCTCAGCACTGGGGTGAGAATTACTCAAAGAAAAAGTGGGTTTGATCCACGCTTATTATCAGAGGATACCAGTCAAGCCAAATAAACATCAAGCCAAATTCATTCAAATTCTGTTGATACAGACATAGCTCCCATTTTAACCATCTGTCAAATCTCTTCCAGGTATTGAGACCCAAGCTTGAGTATAACAGAACAAATGTGACCAACTTCCCTTTTCAATTCCCCCTCACACTTAACATTTTACTCTGCATTGCTGACAAGGTTTCATGCTTCTGGAACTGCAAAGGAAGCATTTACAGTAACTGAAATGCTTTGCAGAGCTGAGTAACATACACTAACATGTGTGTTGAACAAAGTAAGAGGTTTTTGCATGCGACAGTGGTAAGCTGAAAATTGCATACAGGCTACATTTTGGCCATTATTACCATGAAAGACAATTGCCTACCAGGACTGGTCTCCTATACAATACTGCTATCCTTGTTCAATAAAATTTTATTAGCCAATGAAGAAACTATACCAAATGTTAGTGCACAAACAAGAGTCACTTGATACATGTATTAAATCAGTAACCAAAAGGCTATTGGCCTCAAATCTACATTACTTTATTGAATTAAGATTATCTGATACTTTAAAGGTGATCTGCAAAGGAAAAACTGAAACATCGATCCTTTTTGGTTTGCTTATAATGAAGACAGTCTAACAGGAGTTTTTTGATTCATTTGTTTAAAGTCAGAAGCATCTTCTCTTCCTTGTTCATTTTTTTGCTGGAGGTTTCTTTAGAGGACAAAGAACTGGAAGGTCCAGGGCATGGAATCTTTTCAACAAAAAAAACTTGTCTTTCAACTCCTTGTCAGGCATTGAATTAAATTGGTTTTAGAGCTTGAATAAATATCACTTCCCCTTTACTTCCTTGGTATTTTTGATAACATAATTCTACCATCTCTCCATTTGTCCATAGAGTCTTCCAGGGAAAAGAAGACGATAAACCACCTGTATTTGTATGTAAAAGACAAGCAGAAAAGAAAATTTTTTAAAAATCTCAAACTTTTGAATATCAAAGCAAACACAAAAAAAAGCAAACGTTTTTTCCAGTTCACCTTTAAAGTTAGTAAAATAAAACTCACTAACCCATAATAAAGCTCCAGATTAACTACAGATCAATCAGGAAGTTGTCAAAGGAGTGCTTAGATACAAATAGATTGGAGTCCAAATTCCATCCTTGGTTAGGCATACGCAGAACCCAATGGAGTTAATGGGTATTCTGCATAAATAAGCAACAGCAGGATTGGATCCACATATCTGTATGAGTCATTCCAAGATCTCTCTCATAAAGAGATTAAAAACAGAGAGAGGTTTATTTGCCAAGATAAACAGAAAAAGACATCAGAAGCCAACATTACCATCCAAATAGGTTCTTGCCAGTTCAGAACCAACAGTTCAATTTCAGACTATACAGCTACTCCTTAAACTTTTCATTTGCATCTTTAAAACACCCTGACACCTATCCCTCATACACACTGCTCATCTGGGTACCAATGCATTCCCATTACCCCTCACCCATACCCTCTCCATTGTGGACAGCATCTACCTGGTTGCTTTGTCTTTTGAAGGAGTTAGAAAGCTCTTTAGGGCAGAGCGCTGCCTTTTACTATGTTGACGGAGTCCACTGCCATGGGGACCTCAATTCAGACTGGTTCCTCCACGTACTCTAGTAATATAACTACCACCCCACCAGCTGACAATAACTGAATCTTAGACTAGCGCCACTTCACCACTATCTCCTTTACTCCTTTTAGCAAATCTTGTTAGAGCAGTAGTCTGGAAGCTAAAGTACAGGATTGCCACTCTATGCAAACAGGTAATGCTTGGGGAAACCAGAGCCCCTCTTTACTTTGCTTAGAAGTATGCTTCAAGTATATGTGAAACCAAAGGCTTTGGAGAGAAGAATGTTCCCTGCCTGGGCTCCTTAGGCAACCAATCCTTCATAATGTACTAGCCCTTTCTACTCTCAGATGTCTGGGAAAAGATGGCATGATATTACAATACAATGGGGTATAAAAGACAGGGCACAGCCATGCTATGCAGAACAAACTGACTCATACCCTCTGATAAACACCATTTCTAAGCCAAGCCTTAGATCAATTTGCACCCAAGTACGAGAGAGACGAAAACTCCAGTACTAGACATCGGATATAAAGTTTCCAATTTTTACCCTGTCACCTGCATTATGCAAGTATAATATGAAGCATATTGCTAGGTTCATTGCAATGAATATCAGAAAAGGAAGTGATTGAAATTTATGCACCAAAGGGGGAAAAAAATGATTTACACAAAATAGCTTCAAAGTACAAAGTTCTGAACAGCAGAGCGGACTGTCAGTTCTGCTTTCCCAGTTTCAAGGCTCCAAAGCTAATTTGGTTGACATAAAACCAAGCAAGGCATCAGGAACTTTCAGAGGAGGAGAAGAATTCAGGCAAACAGCGTGACATTGAAATACTGCCACATAGCCATACCTCAAAAGGGTTCTAAGTTAGGACTAATCAAGTCACTTTTCCATGACGTGACTGCATTCTAAAGTCAACTGGATTTTTTCCCACCCATATTTCAACCACTCTGTATAATTTTTCTCATATATAATTGAACTGCAAGGCACAACGAAAAGCAACTCAACCACTGAATACAGGCAGCAAAAATGTACAGTAAGAGGGACCTCAAGCAGAGCAGCAAGACGACAAGTTTAGTGGACAAAGCAATTTGCCTTCCATTTTATTATCTTTTTTTAATCTCAGGAAAAGAAACGTTGGCATCCTGCCACTGGCCAGACATATACAATAGAGTAGTAACTGCCCCATAAGCTAACAATCTCTCCCCTAGTTAGGATTTATGAAGAGGTACTATATGGTGTTTGCGTAATATCCCTTAACTCTTCCATTAGGATTTTCATTTTCAAAAGGGAGGCCACTTTAATCTTGTTTTTGAGACCAAGTGCCGGAAATCCAGTCAGTGTCCCTTTAACAGGACTGAGTTGTTAAAACAGAGCTTAACTGAAAAACAATAATTAATCAACTCAAATTAAACTTTTCCTAGTGAGTGAAAGGGGCCTAAACCATCAATTTCTCCAGAATTTAAGTTCTGTTGTTCTTAAACTGAATTACTAAGCCGAGTGCCCTGGTAGTTATTGTCACAGAGGGAACTGATGCAGTGCTGTCTTCCTAAATCTGTGGAGACAACACTCCAGCTTGCTACTGTGCTTTAGCTGTCCCAAGAAGCAGACAAGAACCTGGTCAGTTTCACGGTTGCTATTGGGAACCCTGTGGACAGAAGTGAAACTGATCAGAATCACATCTGTTTCATCCCCTTGTTGGGAAGAGCTGAGGTGCAAGTGGCTGGAGCTATTTACAGGGGAAGAGGATACACCCCCTTCTCCCCAAAGAGGCATGATGTTGCCAACCCCACATCTAGGATGTGAGGCTTGGGATGTGGGGGAAGGAATAAAGCTCTTTCTGGCAACCTCTGTCCAGTCCAGAAACGTGACTTCTCCATCCCCAGCCAGCTACTAGCTGCAGACAGATACAGAAGATGGAGACCCTGAGCAGGGTCCAGGGAACAGCACCTTGATAGGAGCCTCAACACACACTGTCTTCCCAGCAGCCAGAGGGAGGAGCTTCTCAGCAAGATATTACCCAAGCTTCACAGATGGACGCCCTACTTACATCTTACTGCCCTGTAGCTATCAGGTGTCTGTAAACAGAGAATGAAAAATACTCCTGATCAAGAGTCCAGGGGATTAGAAATTAGTCAACAAGCAAACTCGAATGCAGTGTGGTGGAGTTTAATCCCAGGATAGGAATGAAAAATAGCCCTAAGAGCCACACAAAGGCAGCCATATTATTGCTCTAAATCATCAGGTTTTACTGGAAGCTGACGTAGAACTTCCACAGGTGTCCAATTTTAAAGGAAAGCTGCACTCTCTCTGCTCAGCCAAACAGGATCGGTGTTCACACGGTAAGAACTCCTTGTCACAGCAAATAAAACACATTTCAAGGCTTTTCAATACAGTTCTTTCTGAGCCTAGAGCTGCAGGCAGGCAGGCGAGGCTAAATCAGTTTTTAACTCACTTTAACAACGGTTAACAACGTTTAAGCAATCGGAACTCACTGTTGAAGCAGGATGGAGACTGGGTTAGTGTCTCTTTCATAGGGCCCTCAGAATGCCAGTCACAGGTGATAATCTTTTCAGCAAGATGGCTGCCTGCAGCTCTAGGCTTAGAAATGCTAACTGCATTTTAAGCACACCTGGTTAAAAAAATGCCATGCCACCGTAAAGAGTGCTGCTTGTGGGAGCACTCTTACCAGAGGGGTGATCAAAGTGAGGGAAGTTTTCCTCTGACCATGGAAGCAAAAGCGGAGGGTTTAGATTATTTTTGTTCTGTTTTATTTTCACAGGCTTAAACAAAGACGTTTCCCCTGCAAATAAATCACATCAGTTTAGTTTCCAACCCCTCCCATGTGCATTTTAGAATTTTACCTCACTCACCTTCTCTAGTTGGAGACTCAGTTACTGGCCTAGAAAGGATTGTGTTACAGAAGCAATTCCTGAAATTGGAATTCTAGTTCTCAAGTTTCAACATCCCCTCCCCACAATCCACTGAGTTTATCCAGATCTGTGTGTACAGGACACAAAATGCTTATGGTTTGCTTTGATCTATTGCATAGACAGTAGGTTTCAGACAATTCACTTGACAGTTTGTTCATTATGCCTTTGAAAGAAACTACAGTATGTAAAAAGGAAAGAATAGGAGCAAGATAAGAGTCAGTAGCAGCCTGTAAGGTCTACTTGTTACAGTTAGGGTGACCAGACAACCCAATATTAGGGGCTTTGTCTTATATAGGTATCAATTCCACCCCCGCCTGGAAAAAAAGTGTCGCGATTTTTCATACTTGCTATCTGGTCACCCTAGTTGCAGTCCCAGAAACATAGAGGGAAATTTTCAAAGTCAGAAGCACTTAGGCTTCTAGCTGCCATTTGCGCATTTGAAGAACATCTTCCCCGTTAAGTTGCATCAAGTTTGGCCACAAGAATTCTCATTCTCTATACATGCAAGACACTCCCTCTTAGAGCATGTCTTCACTGCTGTTAACTCAAGCTATCTACACTCCACTTACTCCTCTTGAGTTTATCTAGCTTGAGTCAGAGCAACCACACTGGTTGCTACAGCACTCAAATTGCTGCATCTCCACCAGTGTTGCACTCATTTGTTTGCAACACTAAGACTTCTGGGGACACATCCCAGGGCTGTGTGTGTTGCAATAAACAAAACAGCTCAATGAATTCTCTCTCAGCAAATCATGAGATAACTGCTCTGTCTTTTCTGAGCACATGGGGCAAAGTGTGTGAAGGAACTGGGAGGATGAGCAGCACTTGGGTAGCACTAGCCTACATCTACACTACAGAGTGGTTATGTTATCAGCTGACAAGTTGTGCTCACTAATGGTTTTAGCCTATCCTCCCTCTTCGGCCAGCCAAATTAAGTTAAAAGCACCACCAGGCCTGAGTTAAGGGCTTGTGTGTGTAGACAAGACTCTAGTTTGAGGCAACACTAAAGTTAACTTTGCAGCAAAGACAAGCCCTAAAAGAGCATCCAACGCAAGCTGTCACGGTCTTTAATTCTCAAGGATGAGCTATGGCCTCATTATATCTGAACAAGGTAAGCATTTGAAAGGCATGTTGTACACATGCAGCATGCTTATTTTCAATTAACTTTTCAAGGCTTGAGCAGGCAGAAGTGGGTGCTCTATATATCACAATTCTTCGAAAGGTAGCACAAAACAGTGCCTTGGTGCAGTATGCAACTTGCAAATGCTTATGGATTCGTTATAGGTAGATAACAAAACTTCTTCAGACACGTTAAAAGGCAATCCAGGATTATGACCATGGCAGCTTAACTAAATTCACGAAAGGCACCTGAACCGTTTATTACTGGTGAAATACACCATTTTCCAGATGAGTTGTTTAAACCACTGTAATCTGTCCCACCAAGCATTGTAAACGGCTTGTTGAAATTGAGCAATACTTAGGCCAGAAAAACAATACTGCAACACTTCATGCAATCTTATCCCAGTGATTGCTATCTACAGTCCCAACACACAAACAGCTGGAGGTTGATTTCTACCATATGTGTTGCCTGCTTGTGATGAAGACACTAGCATAAAATGGACCCAAGGTGCCATCATTCTTGTTCCAACTAACATAAAATGAAAGTGTTGCATTATAATGTTCAGTTAGACCAGGTCTAGCTGACTCCTCCACTATTAGGAGACGGTGGACTGTTTGATAACTTGCCCCAA